TTTCCTCCGCCTCCCTCTGCCCCGCTTCCCTCTGCACCTCCGCTTCGGTCCACATGCAAATGCTGTAGCCGTGCTGCCCTGTAATGGATGTGGGAGCTCGGGGACAGATGGATGGAGATGAATCTGGGCGGGGAGGGGGGATGGGATGGGAGAGCTCAGCGCAGGCGTGCAGGTGCTCCTGTGCGGCGGAGGCCAGAGAGGGGAAGGGAGGGAGCGCACTACAGCCGCCTTTAAACCCTCGGTAGACACACACACACACACACACACACACACACACACACAGCTGGATGTGCTGCCAAAGCACACAGCGGTGACTCCCTTGTCTCCGCCAAAGACTGGAGGATTTGGTGTCACAACAGGAGGCTGTGGGAATGAATGACGCGCAGCTTGGTGAAGTTTCACCCGCCCAACTTCTTGATGTTTCTGTGCAGGTCGGCGTGTCAGCGCGGAGGAAACCAAGCTGTCATCACTAACCGGAGAGCAGCAAAAGCCAAGTCTCCCGAACAACATCGACAAATGTTTCTCACGCCCTTTCCCAGTTTGTCGCGTCAGAGTAGAGACGTCCAGGCTTTTTGTCGTCAAGTCATAATAACTGGCTTTGCGGCATTTGTTACATTTTCAGCTGGCGCGTTTCGCTTTCACGCTGCGCTGCCAAACATGCAAAAAACAAACAAACAGACAAACACTAACTGAAAAGCCTGTTCACCCCTTTGGTCTGTGGTGGCGCTGCACCAAGAGCCACCGAAGGAAACGACACGAAAACCTCCGAAGAAGACATGAGCGCAACTTCCTTCTTCACAAAATCTCAACAAAAATGGAGAGGCTTCAGATTTTAGCGGTTGCAGGATTTCTCTTTTGACTTCGGTAAAAGACAACTAGTCATTTCTCCAGCTGCTGTGAGACTCCTCGTTTTCTTTGGTTGTATTTACCCAGAATGCCTTGCGCTGTAGTTCACTTCCTGCTTTTGGAGTGGTGTCTGGTCCACTTGGCGTTCACACAGCATTCGAACCGCATCAGAGTTCATTTAAATTCATTTTTAGGCAGACCAGAGAGAGAGAAATGTTGCAAATTTTTTAAGGTATTGATAGAAAAAAAAGAACAAAATTTAGCCAATTCTGAGCAATAAAATTAAGATTTAAGTTGCTCTTCCTTTGACACCTGTATTCATCCAAGTTTGACCAATAAATCAAAAGCAGAGTGTTTGCAAAGTGAGGTTTTGCTTAAAAGTTGTGCCTGCAAGAGAATGCAAAAGCTGTGTTTTGTTAAAAACAAACACCTGGTGTTTTTAACATTTTCTATTGTAAGAACATTTTAATATGTTTGTGATCATTTTGACCTAATTAGAAATAGAAAATGATCATCTACATCAACCCCCTGCACTGGGGGAGCAAATTGGTGTCATTATTAAACTGAAGTCGGAGCCCAAAAACATTCATTCCAGGGGCGGCAAATGGCCCCTGCACCGCACTTTGGACACCAATGTATCACAGCCAAAAGCATCAATGTTTTTTTCTGGGATTTTGGGTGAAAGACCAATAGAAAGTAGCATAATTGTTAGATGGAGAAAAAATGAATCTTTGAATAAAAATCTGAGATATGTGGCAGGCTTATCTATTTGACCCTCTTTACTCTAAAACCTCTAAATAAAACCCAGTGCCTCCAAATGTCTTTTGAAGTCACCTAAATCAGTCGGTCTGTGTGTAATTTAATCCCTAAAGGCCTCAGCGGTTTCTTGCATCATGAAAGAACACAGCAGAGACATCAGAGATGAAGTGCAGAAGTTTAAAGCAGATTTAGGTTATAAAACAACATCCTCTTAATCCAAAATCTAAAACAGGAAGCTTGAATCCGTCCAGATATAAGATACAATTTATCTTCTCCATTTTAAAGATAAAAACCTATTTGTATTTTCTTTTTCTTGACATTTTATGCATGTCTTCCAAAATGAGCGGTGTGGCTCAGATGCAATACACAGGTCACCAGTAGAGGGCGCATCGAGGCCATTTTTATCAGGTAAGTTGCATCTTCAAGGACCTTCTTTCAATATTTCAAGTAACACTATTGCTTCCGATTACAATCAGTAGTAATTAATTTGTGCATCAGGCCCTTTTTTTCCTCTTAGGGACGAGATTCTCACTGCTCTGAGTTCTTTAAAAGGACAGAAAATGTCAAATCAATTCCACAGTAAGTTGTTGGATATGTTGAAATTACTCCAGGCTTCTACATCAATAACTGTTAAGAATAATATTAAAAGTCCTGCTGAGCTCTGTCTAGTGGTGTTCAAAGCTGAGACTGCACTGTGGGTCCTGACCTCGGAATGATTGATAAACAAGTAAATAAATAAATGATTAAAACAGGTATAATAAAAATGTATTAATGAGGTTGATTCTTGAGTTTTGCATGCAGAAAAATACAATAATCTTGTTCTGAACAGATTCTGTGGTTTTTTTAATCCAACAAAAACACAACTGGATTAAAATTATACTCATATCCTGAATAATGTTTAAGTTGACATGTTTTTTCTTACATATTTTCTAACGGATGGGATTCGATTTTATTTTTATTATACATTTTTACTTTAAATGACACTACTTTTAGCTATACATTGAAGTCTGTTATATAGAATAGCTCATATATATGTTAATTCTTTTAAATTTCTTCTGTCAACCTGCTGGGATCTGCTAATTGTCCCTTTTATAAAATAAAATAATTTCAGAATCCAACAGTTTCAACACTACTATTTATTATAAATCAAGGTAAATGGTATAAACCTAAGAAACCTCCATAATTCAATAACTTGTGGAACCAGCTTTAGTAACTTAAATTTCTCTCTTTTTGTTTTTTGTCTCAAACCTTTTTGAGTCTCTAATGTTTCAGCTCACCGCTCTTCACAGCTTTGCTTCAGATCAATATGTCTGGGCTGATTGCCTGCCTCACATTTGACATCACGACACCCACGGCTCACAGTTGACAAATGGCTCCAGGGGTCAGAGGTCGTGTGACTGCAGATCATCAGCCCTCCCAAACACCAACATTTGTGTTTGGTTTTCAAATGTTGCTGTGAAGGACTTCGATCCTGGTTCACTGAGATACTTTGCTGCACGTTGCTCAGTCTCAACCTGGAGACGCTCCTGAATGTTTTCTTAATTTGAAATGTGTTCAAGACTTCATGTAGCCTAGAGATGGCTTCATGTTGTTTTTAAATGATGTTTGTTCATCACTTTGGTCATCTTATAAATGAAGATGACTTGGCTCATAACTCTTGGGGAGCTGCAGCTGCTGTCGTCTTTGTTTAACACATTTGCAAATGATCAGAAACCACTAATGTGATCAGATCTGCTCATGGTCATTTCATAGGGTGGATCAGGAAGACTTGGCTGCTTTGCTTCTGAAAGCCTCTGGAAGAAGCAAGGATGTACTCAGTGTTTTCTTTTCAGAGTTTTTTTTTTTTTTGTGATTAAATGAAATAAATGTTTTTTACACTTTGAGGAACTTGTTTAAATCCGGATACTTTATAAAATGTGCTAATGCTTAAAATCCAGTTAGTAAAAAAGGGTGTACTTTCTTTTTACTGTGACTGGAGGTCTAACCTTCAAATGTAGATAACACGTTCTGCCTTACATGTCACAACCTAGTAGTTATAAATGATGAGAATGTACTTTTCTTCTGGCAAAGACGGCTCATAGTGCTCTGAGCTGTAAAAAGGCCCTTCAGCTATTTTGTATCTTTCAGCCGGTGAAATATGAAGGTCACAAGGTTATTTTATGCTCTGAGGTTTGCCTTAAGCAGCAATCTGACTTTGTTGAAGAAGGACTGATGAGCCGCTTACTGCATCAATCAGAGAGGATAGATGTGACATGCAGAAACAGATCAATCACCACATTGTTTTTCCAGAGGGAGGCCGCTGTCTGTTTGGCTAAATCTAGGTGATGACACTTTTGTTCGTCGGGCAGCATGGGTCACATTGAACATTTTGACTTTTTGTTCCATGTACAAGGAAACTGAAGGCTTCAATGCTTTTGCTATCTTGGTCCTCTCGCCTTTAAATTAAAAATTCCTACAAAAAACTCAATACTGCATGACACTATAGCACCTTTGTGAATAAATATATGCCTGAGAGCTCCTGCTAAGCTGCAATCCCACACAGATGAGGACGGCAAATGCAGCCAAGTCCAAACCAACGGCGTCCACAAACTTAAACTTCAGTTCATTTCACTGTGTTTTTGGGGTAAGTTGATACAGGAAGTTGATACATAAAAATCTGAAACCTTTTGACTGTTCTTGGTTAAATAAATAAATAGAGATGGAGAGTTTCTGTGGACAAGAGATTGTACATCCTGCCACTATTTTTTGTTACTAATGTGGGAAGGGCTGAAACAATTAATTGGATTAATTCTGATTAATCAATTTATTGAATAATCATCAACTAATTTAGTAATGGATTAATTGTTAACTGGAATACAGTGGCTCTGAAAAAGACCATCTGGTGAAATAACACCAGCAGAGCAACACTGGACAAAAATATATACATTAAGCATGTAGGATGAAAAACCTTTTTTATCCATTGCTTCAAATGATCAGGCAAAAAATATCAAAAACAAACTGCTACTGCATTTTGGCAATAAAATATTTTCTCATATAGAAAGGGACTTGAATGTTTGCAGATTTGTATTTTTTTGTTTTTAGATGTTGAATAAAATAAGCCTAAGTGGTTAAATGAAACCTCTGCAGAATTGTCAGAATAATTGATTACTAAAATAATTGTTAGCTGAAGCCATAAGGAATAGAAGAGGAGGGGCTAGAAGTGCCTGCCACACATATCAGATCTTTTTCTAAAGAAAAATCAATGAAAACTATGCATCATTTTCCAGAAGATAAAGTTCTATTGAAACAGCATGAGGTTTGTGATGATAACGGGTCGAACTGAACCAAAGGACTTTTGAAAGGCGTAAATTAACAACAAAATCCCCTGAAAAAAAGGAAAGACAAAGCCATTCAAAAACATTTGAAACATTTATTTGAGCTAGGAAAATTCATAATTAGACAATCTAAATAGACACTTGGAAACATCATCTTTCAATAAATAAAGGAATAGACACTTTTGGAGCTTTTCTTTAACAGAAACAATATATTTATAAGGTTTGTGCAGAAGCATCTACTAACAGAAGTGCATTCATTGTGTGTGGCAGTTTTTTGCCTCGGATTTGCAGCGGTGGACATTTCAAAGCTGTCAGTATGTGAAGGATTAGAATTACAGGCCCTTGTCTGCGACCCGTTCAGATTATCCATAGCAGCAGGATTTGCCAGAACAGAGATAAATGTCAGACAAAAAAAAAAAAAGAGAAAGGAAACACGCTTTGTTTGATAAAAATGTGCTTCAGCTTGGCAAATAATACATTTGAGTCCAGGAACGCTTTCTTCCGATTGTCCTTTATGGAGCTTCAAAATACCGAGGCACAGTGAAGGCTCTGGATGTGCAATACTGCAATGTTTTTAATTTAATGCTACGATGCTAAATAAAACTTTATCTCTCAATCTGAGTTAGATTACAACATATAAACAAGATCTAGAGGCTAATAACTCTGTTAAATTGTCAGCATTGATTTTTTTTTTTTAAATGACAACTTTTACATACATTCGATTGGATGGAAGAAAGCAGAGTAGCACTTCTGTCATTTAGCGTCTAAGCAAAGCTTCTGCATGCTGAAGATATCAGAGCTCCTCAAGTATTTTCATACAAAGTACAAGAAGTAGAAAACACAGTAAAAAACAACAGTGCATTTGAACAAAGGAGACAAAGTGCTTCCTCCTGCTGTTCAGCTTCTTCCTGAACCCAATAGCCTCGGCGGCGTCTCAAATCGCTCCATCCGGGTTTTCTTGTTTCCGTAGAGAGGCACCGTCACCGCGAAGCTGAGGTTTATGAAAGAGCCGTGGGATGGACGACCTCAGCAAGCGTCAGTCAGCACTTTGGCGAGCCCTTGATCCAAATGAGAATAAATCCACTGATTCCAGGGATTACTGTTAATCTTTTCTGCTCAAATGCCCCCATCTTACCACCGGCGAGGGAAAAAACAAGCCAGCTCCCTCCTTTACAGTACCCTAATTACCGTATACTGTAGCGTTGACGAGCAGCTGAGGTCCCCTCTGGGGTTTTTTGTGTTTACATGATTCATGGTTGTAGTCTGTGTGGTCATGTGTCAGTGGAACATGTGAGTCCTGAGTCGGGTGCTGCCTGTGTGGTTTCCTGGGAGCTTTGGCAGCGTTTCCGTGAGCATCACTCCCCGGATTTCCTCGGCATCCACACAACTCGTCTCTTGGCCTGATAGAAATCTGTTGGGATAAAAAAAAAAAGGACTACATTTATCTCCCACTAAACTACACCTGGGAAATCAATCAATGACGATCTACATCAATAGATAATAATACATCTGATGTACAGTTCTCTGAACTGCCACCAGAACCAAACAGCATTCTGGGAGATGTAGGCAGAGGGAGAGAAAAAAAAAACAAAAACGAGCCACTCAACCCCTCTAGGGCAGCTTAGTAAGATCAGCTGCATCAACTAACTCACTCTCTCTTTGGTTACCTATCAACAACCTGGTGACCTGCATCCTTCATAGCTGCTTAAAATTTAAAGAAAAAATAACAACAGTATGATGTGAAAACTGGACAAAACAGAAACACCAGTTTGGCAGCAATTTGGATATTTCAAACAAAAAACTGATCAATAATTATCTTTATCGATCGATGTGATTCGCTCTGACAGATAAGATGAGGACCAACCTGTGATGTTCGTCTGTTTCCTCTTCAGCGCGGCGTTGTCTCCCTTCTCCGGCGTTTTCTCCAGGTTCCACTTCTCTGGCGTCAGAGGGATGTTCTCCTTCTCCAGCCTGGCTGCTTTGGTCTGAACTGCCCCTCCTGCCCCTCCTGTCCCTCCTGTCAGCCTCAGGCCCTGCGCCAGCACGCAGGGCCTGTAGAGCAGTGGCACCCCGCATTCTGGGATGCCCTCCCACTGGAAGTCGCTGCCCTCCACGGGCCTGTCCAACTTGAAGTCAAAGCCCCATCGTCTGGACGCCTCGTCCAGGTCTTTGCGCAGCGCTGCCTGGTACTCCACCTGCAGCTGGGCTCGGTCCACAGGGCCGAACAGGTTCCTGCGGGCCCGTCGGTTCCCCGTCTGGGAGCTCAGCACCGGCTTGTGAGGAGCCATGATTCTGCACTGGAAATAAAACACAACAGATCTCTGGTGAATTTTAAAAGCCGCTGTCTCTAAGAAAGTTGGGTAATTTCTCGAAAAACCTCTTTAAGGATGAACACATCTTGGATCAGCTATTTTAATGTAAAAGTTGAATCCTTACACGAACAAGCAATAATAATAATTTTAAAAAAAAAATCAAGTCCCAAACAGAAAATGAGAGCCCAGACTCACCATCTCCCTGCCTTGTTTAACACCTCCTGTGTGAAGAAGCAGCCTGACTGCAGCGCTGCTTTTAACCAGGCAGGCAGGCAGTGACTCACCGCCCCTCCTCTCTGCTGCTCGGTACATGCCTGGACATAATCTGCTGGACATGTGGGGACTAATCCACTGCGGTGTTTCAGCCGGCCACCAGGTGGCAGTGCAACTCCTCCCTGAGGCGTTTCCTTTATGTGGGGGTCAAACCTGCGCAAGGATCTGTTTTTGAGAACGACTTACTGGAGCAGTAAATGTCTCCACTGTAATCAAGTAAAGAGCAAACGGGTTCCTGTCGGTTCCTACTGTTTTTGCTTAATAAATTCAAAAGAAATCTGCCACAGGCTGCCTTGGCTTCCCAGTTATTGCATAGTGAGGGGTAGATATTAATATGAAAAGGAAATTATTTGACATATCTGACTAATGTGATATAACATCTGACTAGAACAAGTAGGTGAAGGGATGTCAAAAAAAAAAATTCATAGGATTTCATGCATGTTAATAGGTTTTGTGATTTAAAGGTGCAAAATTCACTTTTTGCACATTTTTCCATTTGGGTCTCAACTGTTTATCAAAACAGTCCAAGCGTTTAAAAACAACCTTATAATTATTATTATTTTTGCAATATGTTAATGTTTTTAGGTGTCTGGAAAATGGGTTGCTTCAAAAACCTCCCGATTAATGACTCGCAATCAACAGGCACTGCGTCATTACCTAGCAACCCCAGCACGTCACCTAGGGAACCCAATTGCAGCGCCAGCACATTTGGTCAGCTGCTTTTACTGCTGTATGCACTGCACAATGGCTGCTGGAAGACACAGAAAAGTGTTTTTCTGTTGACTAACCATTCAAAAACCGCTTGCTACATTGGTATTTGTTGTGCAGGAGGATCTACTTTTGTTTTTCAAGATGTATGGCTGTATTTTGCACGTTTGTTTGCAGCCATTTTCACATTCAGTAAATTCTTATTAGATGTTATTTAGACATAATCTGACGATTATTCACACAGGTTGGAAGCACCAACAAACTTCTTGCATGAAGCATGCACTGAAAAGTGAGCACATAAAACTTTCCAGTCAGAATTATACATATTTTTACTGTCTTACTTTTATAATATTTAATAATACTCACTGGAAAGACTTTACATGCTCTGTTCTTGGCATGCGTTTCACACAGGAGGGTTTATGGTGGCGCACTGCCCCCAAAGACTATTTTCTATGTGAATACCCGTCACCTTTTCAGGAGATAACCACAACACTAATAATGTAGTCTCTGCTTAAACTGCCATGGTGTTTTTGAAACAGAAGTTTTTTAGGTCAAAAGACTAATCTGGATTTACAGTGGACCACTGTAAGTCAAGCTGGTCTTTCTTTAGAATATTTTAGATAAACTCTATAGAGAAAAAGGTGAACAACCTAATACATCTAATGAATCCACCAACCACCAAGGGCACTAATAGGCTGTAATTATAAGTCTGAATGACTTCCTTCACCACCCACTGTTACATAACAGGGGGTGGGGGGTCATGGGTGCATGGGGGTAGTGCAAAGATCAGGCTTCCAATCATGACAAAAACTGAAATAAAAGTGACGCAGAACTTTTAAAGAAAAGTCCCTCTGTTTTGGGAGGAGCACCTCTTCTATATTTGGTGAAGTGCACTGCTGAAGGAGAATGAATGAACACCACTGTGACCCGGCTTTGCCCCAGTCCCCACCCTATCCCGGCACTGGACGTCAGACTGGGAGGAGGCGCTCCAACCCAGAGTGGAATGATTCAAGCAGTGGCGGGAAGCAGGAGAGGAACCCTGCCCACTTTCTACCTTCTTCCCTGCTCCACGTGAGTCTGCAGCTCGTGTCCAGCAGTCAAATCTGGGCTGTCACTTTGTGCATGGCAGGAGGACCCACACAACTCTGGCACGTGTGTAAAAATAACCCAGCAATAAGTCCAGGTGACCTCTGAAGTTTGTAGATGGAAAGACTGACTGAGAAAACCGGATTTATTTCAGCTTGTCACAATAGAGGAGATGAATCTTGAATGAATGGGACAAGAGATTCAAACCTCACATGGTTTCAAAGAAAGATAAATTAGGCAACTTCTAGATACTGGAGTCTCCTGCAGAGCTCCGGTTGGTGTTTTCTCCAGTCTGATCAAAAGTTACAGTTATTTTTACTTACATGTTGATTCAAATGAAGTCCAGTTCTTCCTCAGTGGTATCAAGTGAGTGAGTCTGTCTGTCTGTCCACCTCTTTGCTGTCTTCCACTCGGTTCCACAACTATGATGATGATGTTTTATCCAATCCACACCCTACACAGAACACACCTAAACGCGACCGTCTCCTGTGAGGTTCTCCCAGTTTTCCCACAGCCATGCACGCCGACCAAACTTTTATGAACTGCCGTGGAGTGGAAGACCCTCCTCCAGAAGGGGCGGGGTCGGCTGTGCCCGCACACGTGGCCACGGTCCGGTAAAAACACGAGTTACACGTGAATGTTTGGCTCTGAAAGTGAGGTGAAAGACCTTCCTGCTCAGGACGTCTGGATCGCGCACGACATCCTGGATACACACACACGCGCGCGCGCGCGTACACACACACACACACACACACACTCCGCGTTTATTTTTCTTTCTGTTATATTCTATTTTTTTTTTCTTTTTGTTTCACTTCAATGAAACAAAAAGAAAATTGTTTCAATTTGCTCCAGACTGCTGAGCGGATCTTACCAGAGGGGCTTTAGAAACTTCACTGCCTTGCAGAAGTGTTCATACCTCATAATCTTTTTATGACATTACAACCGCAAACTTCAAATTTTGTTTTCGGAGCCGGACAAAGTCGTGCAAATATATTAAAAGACACAGACAAAACTCTGGCTTCCTGTTCCTGCTGAAGAATAAAAACAAATACACAACAAATACAAACATCAAGCACTGTTTGTTTTCCACTGCACAGTGTTCTGCTTGTCGTCCAGAATTATATATATATATATATATATATATATATATATATATATATATATATATATATATATATATATATATATATATATATATATATATATATATATATATATATATATATATATATATATATATGTATATTATATATATATATATATATGTATGTATATATATATATATATATATATATATATATATATATATATTATATATATATATATATATATATATATGTATGTATATATATATATATATATATATATATATATATATATATATATATATATATATATATGTATGTATATATATATATATATATGTATGTATATATATATATATATATATATATATATATATATATATATATATATATATATATATATATATATATATATATAATTTTTTTTTCTTCAATTTGTAGGTGTGTCACACTGCATAATTTAATATCAATCTGATACTAAAACCTGTATTGCCGATACAAATGCTGACACTGAGTTTGGTATATCACCAAATTTCTGACCTTTCTGTTCTTTGGGGTTTTTCCTTTTAATTACTTTTGCTCTAATCTACAAGAGAATTGAAATAAAGCTCATAGAAAATACTTTAATGACATATTAACATAATTTGCATGCATTTTTACTTAAATAAAGTGGTAAAAATATAATTGCAGAGCTGACACAAAATCTCTAACATTTTGCTTGTTTCCCTGATCTGATCACCTTAGATCAGATCGGATCTGATCTAAGATCTAATGTAATCAATGCAAATGTATTGCACTGATTACAGGCTTGTAATCAGTGCAAATGATTACAAATGTAATCAATGCTGATGTAATCAGCTACAAATGCAATACATTTGCACTGATTACAAATGCATTGATTGCATTTGTAATGCAATCAATGCATCACCACTTTCAGGTTTTAGATCTTTTGGTCTTGGTCAGGCGCTATTACCACTTAGTCATATTTTTGATGCACAAGGTAAACTCTGGGTGAATGTGTGTTCTGTTTAAAATGTTTATAAGGTGAAACATACGGCAAATATTACAAAATAACAGCTACAGAAAGAACAGTATATCACATGTCAGATTGTTATTCTGCACATTAAATGACAATTAAACAATTAACATGCAGCTTTCCAACTTATCTGCTTACAATAATGCATTGCTCATAGGACTTGTGGTAATTTTGTCACTTCGAGGCTCGTCACAAACAAGAATAAAAATCTGGAACCTGATAACTTACACACTTTGTCTCCCAATTGTAAACAAAGTGTTTCTCCTCCCACTTTTAGTGTTGAGTCCCGGTCGGTTTATTCCAGCGGTGAGTCACGCTCTGAACTCCCCGTGTTCTCCAGTGCGGTTACTATTCAGCCCAGTTCTCAGCACATCGACAATAAAAATCAATGCTGTGGATGCAGTTTGTAGAGGCCTGAATTCTCTGAGACAACAGAGGAGCCTTTGTTCATCAGTGACAAGGAACACTGAGGAGCTCTTGACATAAATTATGCAAAATGCACAGTAGAGCTGGAATTAATGACACAAAACAGTCTTTAAACTTGGACTGCTGAGTAAACACTTTCTTATCTTTCAACTGAATTCAGCTACAAAGTGTGGAGAGAATGCAATCTCCAGATAACTTGCTCCTACATTACATCCAACATGTCATTTATGCTTTTATTCTGCATCCGTTGTGAGAAATGCTTGGCAGATATAACATGTCTGCAGAAACTTTGTGTGAACATTTAGTTTATGATTTACCCGAAGCTTCAGGCATTAAAACCTCTCACTGTAATTACTATGTAGTCCCAGTGAGATGATCTTGGTAGCTTACAGCTAAAAAGAGGATAAAGGTTTGTATTCTAATTACAAAAATATAAATTCAATTAAGTTTATGCTCAGGAATTTCACCCAGATTCGCTTTACTGTCATGCTGTAACATAACAATTTATAAATTTAGGATTTTTTGTAGTTGATAAAGTTGTTTTTGTTTTGGTTGCATTCCCAAGTTTGTCTATTTTCCAGACCATTTGCTGGTCATTTCTGTCAACCTGGATGTATTTCGGCGTATCTTGTGCAAACACAAAAGACAATATGTTTCCTGCAGGTTGGATTCAGTTTCACCTGCTTGTAACTGTTTATCAAACAAAACTGCAGATTACATTTGTGCAAGAAAACAAATCCTGGAGGGTTGCAATGTTTGTTTTCCCTCCCTTCAGACGTGGCAGCTCAGTGTCTGCCATCGTGACTATTTTAGACACATTTACCAAAATCAGATGAATCCGTCTTTTAATGACGTCACAGCAAATTTTGTTGATGACACCACCTTTTAAAGGAAGGACTCAATCAGCTGTAGTTTTTTTTTTTTTTTTAAAGATCTTGTTTTGTTGTTTCAGTGTGAGTTTAACTGGAAGCAGGAGGAGGATTCAGGACATCGTGATGTCAGAGTTATTTTTTGCCTTGAGAAGCAGCAGCACTCCCCCACCTGGAGCAATCCTCCCAAATTCCAGTCTTTGGGGAAGGGCGGTCTCTGTTTCTCTATTTAGCATAATGCCCTGAAATCTGACCCTAGATCTCCAATGATGTAATGTAACAGTGCAAATAAATATCTCGGAAAAATATAGTTTATTTACAGCTTTCACGTTCCAAACAATCACAATCTGAAATGTTTTTAGCGTTAATAAATATTGGAAAATTACCAATTTTTTATTTTTTTTTTTTATTTTTTTTGTCAAACAACCAAGTTGGACACTTTACTTTTGGTTCATTAGGTAATGCACATTGTTGGACTGGAAAACAAATGAAAAATGGGATAGAATAGATGGTTGGCTCTCAAAACCAGTTCTGCCACAGGGCCCAGTTCAGCTGCAAATAAACTTGCTTTGTCTTACTGTAACTGTGATTTTTGTTATGTATAATTATTATTTATAGTTATATAGAGTACATTATAATACAGTAGTATGAATCTAACAATTCATATAATACAAACTATTGCTTGTATTTTAATATTTAAGCATATATTAAAATACAAGAAAATATTTAAACTGTAAATACAGCTTAAATATTAAAAGCATATCAAAATTACTTCCACGTTTATTAATACTATACCCTTAATTGTTTATATGTATAGTATATATATATATATATATATATATATATATTTATATATAGGCTATATATGTTTAACAATTAGGGTAACTGAGTCTAGAATATTCTTCAGCAGAATCAGGTGACCAAAGCACGAGGAACAAACCCACAGCAGGCGAGTTTCATAACAGTGGGTGGAAATATTGCGAGTTTCTCAGTGGATTCCCGCGAAGTATTTTTTTTTTTTTTGCTGCGTCTCCGTGGATGCCGAGTGGAGTGGAGTCATCGGCCCGATTACGTCACATGGGCAAGGTGGAAAAGCGCGCGCAGATTTGAGCATGCCTCTCTGTCTGCTGGCGCACGTGAGCCGACCGTCGTTACGTCACAGAGAGACGGCCGGATGCGTCGTAACTAAGGAGACAACGGGAGAAGCTGTTATCTGCTGGTCGAGATGTTTAATGTGGGGCTTTATTGGCTGTCAGCGACACAAAACGTGTGTTTTTTGTCAGTTTCGGTCCATTCAGAGGAAAAGGTCAACCTTTCTGTCAGCTTGATTACATAAACATTGAGCTTTACTCGATGTTTCTGGTCTGTCCTACTGACGCAGTTTATTAAGTTTCAAAATCAAGTCATAACTTCATTCAAAACTCACTATATCACTCATTACCCGGGGGTTATATTTAAAGTGTTATATGTTATGTTATTTTCCATGATTGCTTGTCATTATGGTATACAGGACAGGTGTCAAACTCGAGGTCCGTGGACCCAATGCAACCCGACATAACTATTTATGTGGCCCTCTCTACTGTAGAGCAGAGCCGTCCAAAGGGCCATTTGCAGCCTTTAGAGTGATTTTGTGTGGCCCCCGAAATGCAATTCAATGTTGATACAAATTTGTAGAGGTTTACAATAGAAAATGTATGAAAGCATTTGTCTTTTTATAACCAATCTTTTATAATAAGTAAAGACGTTTACTGAAAACTCAACTTTGCTTTGCCTAAATCAACTTTTAACAGAGTAAATTTGTCCAATCAAGCCCAAATGAATTTGAAAAACAGATGAAAAAACAAGAAAACAAATCATTGAGAAAATCATGTCAAGTCATTTGAAGGTTGTAAGCCTTGTCTACAAAAAACAGTAACATCTTTCATTGCTTGATTTTATTTTAATATTATCATTATTATTATTCATACATTTTTTATTGCATCTTTTGGCCTTCAAGTACTTCTGACTTGATGGTTTTGACCCATGTGACAAAAAGTTTGGACACCCCTGTCGTAAATGCAAGAGTTTAAACCAT